TATATACTGTTGCTAATAGTTTATGGAAAAACATTCGACAAAAGGTTCTGCCCTGATTGATAGTCATATAGACAAACATTACACAAATATAAACGTTTATTCATACGAAAAATGCGCGATAATAATGATTAATTAATGACTAACAGTAACAATGGGTTTGAATATCAGGTATACTAGTAAGTAATGTATAAGTGTCAGAGCCTGGCCTGAGCGTCTGATGAGTCATCGGCTTCGCCTTTTCAGCCAATTTATGTTTCACTAAGTCTCAGCCAAATATGTTTTTAATAAACGAAAATCAGTTTAAACTATAGGTAGTTGAGTACGAAATGACCTTACACGCACGTTGAAACACAAAATAATAATGACTTATGTGTAATTGAAAAGTTTTCCTGAATAAAAATCACTATACTTCTACTGTTACTCTACCAAAAGAAATTTTCACTGACAAACAGTATTGCAATATGTGGCGTATACTGCTGTATATGTGCTAAATAAAAACGGCAACAATATTCTTATTAATGTCGCAGCATGTTTGGGGTTGGGTTTTTTTTTCAAATCTTGTCTGACTCTGTTTTCCAATGCCGTTGCTATGGGCTGCGTTAATGACTGTTTCGGAATTTCCGCCGACATGCATGACACGCTTCACGCAAGCATATAACGCTTTTCAAAACAGCAAAATAACGAGAAAAAAGAGTCCATGGTATTTCACTCGTAAATAGCAAATTATATCCTCTTGCTATACATCACAGTGATATATGCTACAAACTCTATCGACGTTCAGTGAACAGTAGCGTAGCCAGCCCGACGATTTAGTCGCTATTATCATATAAAATTATTATCATTATTTATTTCTTTAGAAATTGATTGTTTTCACAGTCAGTCAGAACACGAAATACTTGCATAGCGGGACTATGTTGTCGGGCTGGCTACGCTACTGTCAGTGAATCAGTATCAGTAATATTCTTAAAGTTTTTAATTAATATTGGCGGAACGAAATCCGAAACGAATGCTAGTGATCTACAAGGAAGATAGCTCATAGGTGTACTAGTATTTTGAATACCGGTATAAAAGTGAAACGAATTTTGAGCGGAGAAGCAAAACTCGCTGAAGGATCTACAGTCGAATTCGATGGTTTGGACTATGAAGCACTAGTTGCGAAGCTCCATGGTAAGTGGGGTTGTTGTAGGAGCCGCTGATCTCGAAACTTTTATTCCTTCCCTTCCAGTTATTTTGTTATTTTGGTTACGCTTTCTCCTGAGGAATACAGGTTATATAATAACTCTCTTTCTCGAGCATACGCGGAAAATTTCGCCATTTTAAAACAAAAATTTGTCCCGAAATTTGTAAGCGACCGACAACTTTGAAAAATCAAAATTGAAAGACGCTTAGATGCGAAAATTCGGAAACATTAATTTTCGATTACGGGACAAACAAATTGCGGTTATGTCTCGGCAAAGGTCGATGCGGTTTTTGTTTTGGTCAAGCGATGTCAAACCTTAGGCAACCTAGGTTAAACCTCGGTCAAACCTCATTCAAACCGCGGTTAACCTAGGTTAACCTAGGTCAAACCTCGGAAACCTAGGTTTGACCCAGGTTCGACCTAGGTTTGACTCAGGTTCGACCTAGGTTTGACTCAGGTTCGACCTAGGTTTGACCTAGGTTTGACCTAGGTTTGACTAGCTTTGACCTGTCCTAGGTTTGACTAGGTTCAACCTAGGTTCGAACGGTTTTTGTTAGGTTATTTCTGGACATGCAGTACTGTACTAGAGTATATACTATAGTTTGTTTAGTTTACTGATCTTGCATGTATTTGTCCTTACTCCTCCACTGTTATTCTTGCAAAATATACTTAATTCTAGCTTCATTGTCAACATTCGTGATATCATTTTGTTTTGGAATTTCACCTGAATTAGTCAGTGATTAACTGACTGTTCTTCGTCGAGGTCCAGTGTAAGGAGACGCTAGCTAAACTAGATTACTTCATTTAATATACTCAGTGACAGTGGATAAAAGTAAAAATCAGACTTTCGTCGCGAAAGGCTTGTTTGATGCATGCCGGAAATATATTTGTTTGGTATTTGTGGAAACATCACGTTTATTTTGTATTATTTTACATTGTAGTTGGTAAAAGCAATTTGATTAACTAAGAGCTCAACGGCTCGTTCCCAGGACGAGCTTACAGTTAGTAAATCGCGCAATCACGCAACCTACGGCACCAAATTCAGTTATCTGCTAGCACTAAATAACTGAGTTATCTGCAAATGAGCCATGCAGAGATGATTAGCAAGCGGTATCTATTTAACACAAATAAAGGAAAACTAGCAAAGCAAAATTTTGAACAAACGTAGAAAAAATGTGAATATCTTCAAATGTATAATAAAACAATTATTGAATTCGGTTTTTGCGATGTGCAAAATTATCAAGGTTTGATCGATCGGTATGCGTTATCAGCCTGAGGGCTCGCCTTCGGCTCGGCTGATAACGCTGACCTTGATAATTCCGTATATCACAAAAACCTCATCCAATAATTTTAATTACTAGGTTTCGATCTGTAAGCCTGCATATATGGATCTTTACCAGTGTATTAAATTATTATAGCACCAATAGAGTTGGGTCGAAAGCTTCGCCAAAGCTGAGACAAAGAAATGAACGTGTCCACAAAATAAAATAATTATATTTATTTTTAGTCAAGGATCTTATCGCGCTTTAATATTATAACAATGGTATATCAAGATAACGAAATATCTTTAAAAAGCATGCACAATACACTAATTTTGGGGGGAAACCACAAAATGCTTGAGACGATATCTTTCTATCTCCAAATTATGGCAAAAGAAAGATTTCGAAAGTTCTTTATTAGTAAATTTTTCTTTAGCTTTGGCGTAATTGCCTGAATGTCTATACAAAGTCTTGTCTTCTGTGATATTTGCCCATGGGCATGGCCGCAGGGCCGGATTAACCAAGTGGCAGATGCGGCATATGCCGCGGGTCTCGCGCTTATGGGGGCCTCGCGCTTTACTGTACCACGCCCATTTTCTATTGGGACACGCCCAATATAGGTGCCTCGCGAATTTAGGGACCTCGCGCATTTAGGGCCCCTAGGCTTGGCAGTTGGCCGCAGGAAAATATGCAATACCTGTACATGCCTGTATACGTAATCTCCAGTTGCGCTGATTATAGACACCAATGCTTGTGCTAATGTATATTTGATTTGTATGATATTTTGGTAGCTATTTTTAGCCAAGTTAATCGTTAACGTTTTGCTATGTTATATCTTATTCTATGGTTATACTGAAAATGTATTTGTAAGCCACAATCATATCCAACAAATCGTCGCAATTAATTCAGGTTGTTCAAGCACCCAAATTTGCAAATTATGAAGGTTTCATTGATGTTTGAAACCAGTTTTAACTTAACGGAAAATTACTCAGAAATCTTTTCATATAACCTTTATTGAAATGTTTGCCCCAAAAGCCATAGGCTTATCAAAGAGGCTCACACGAACTTACTGGTGGAGATAGCTTGGCTGCGAAATTACGGTAATTTGTGGATAAAATTGAAAACAATTATTTAACAATTTTGTGTGTCTTGGAATTTAAAGGTTTTCATAACGGGAGGGGGGGGGGGGATTTGGGCCCCAATTTTGGGGCCTCGCGCTGAAAATCTGCCGCGGGCCTCGCGCGACGTTAATTAATCCGGCCCTGGGCATGGGCATGAAAATAGGCGAGTTTACTGCAATGCCAATGGCAACGAAATTCAAGTCAGCATTGTAGGCAAAAAGAGCATGTGAAACTATAGAATAAGTTCACTGGACAACTTTTCTAGCTTATTTAATTTATTTTTTTTCGTTCTATAGAGATAGTTTAGTTTCATATGGTATGTCAAATGAAATAAATCTATGGCATTAAGAGCGAGTAAAATATTAGTTTCAAAGGGACAAAGAAAGGTAGCAGTCTCGTCAAAGGTTCAAAAATGATGAACAACCTAGAGTCGGTGGGCACCACAGTGGCCCCACCGACTAATTACGAAGGAAGTAGAATAAATCATATCTATGGTTTCTGGCCATGTGACAATTATGTCAGGGAGATGTTGGAGCGGGCTTAAGACTACACTATTTCCACCCAACATTGTCCAACGTGGTTGAACGACGTTGGAAATGTTGGAATCGTTTAGACGGTTCTTATAGGCCCAGTTTAGACCGTGAACTTTTCATGCGCCGCCGAATCTAATGCAAGGATTAAGTGCGATTCTGGAGCGGCGTCTAAATCAGTTAAGTTCGGCAGGTTTTGATTAAGTTCGACGACAGACTCGAAGATGCGACAAGACTCGACATGCATTGACTTAGACGCCGTGCTTTTCATGCGCCGAACCTCATGAGTCATGTATAATTATTTTTGGCTAAATTGCAGAATACCCGTCCACTAGTGTAGCCGTGTAGCCACTAAAAAATATACGGAGCGATTGCAGAATACCCGTCCACTTTTAAAGACCCGCTAGAAATATCGGTGGCTACGTGGGTACATGAGTGAGTTATAAATTAGAATGGCATAATAATTGCGTGATTAGGCCTATAAGGTAGCTATATTTTTCACTGTTTATATGCAGTGAGTCTTTAAAAGAACGAGACATTGACATAATTACATAATATAGGAAGGTAAGGAAGGTATATTATACGTACATAGCTACCTTATAATCACGCAATTATTATACCATTCTAATTTATGACTCACTATGTAGCCACGTAGCCCACCAATATTTCTAGCGGGTCTTTAAAACGGGTATTCTTTAAAATGGGTACTCTGCAATTGCTCCCGTTTTTTGAAAGCTTTACAAGAAATATCCAAATAGCGCGCAGATATATAGAATACATAGCGCGCAAATTACAACAAATGATGAAATCATTGAAATGAAACATCATACAATAATTTATATTGACCTTATTCGACGTAATAGCCAATATACTATTGAATACTATATACACTATATGCACTCACGCAAATGCTGCATACATATAGACTATAGTATAGACTCGAGTATACACTATATATTTATAACATATAATAATAATCGACATATCTCAAAGCACATTGCTATAAACGTCTATAGAATGAACACCATAAACTCATCGCCTTGGCACATCGCCACACAAACATATAAACTAAAATTATTCATTTCGACTCCTTGTATATAAAGTGTATCAGTGGGCAATCAAAACTGCTGATAAATTCATGAAATCATATTGTTTCAATACCTCTATATCGAACACTAAACAGCTGCAGATCTAAATATAAATGCCTTCAAGTACATCGCCAGAAAGAAATAAAGCTATCCCTGCCTGAATTATTCAAAATATTGTCGATCGTTTGCATCGTGAAAATCCAACATACTGCATGTA